GTAAACTAGTTAAATTAATACACACACACACACACACACACACACATATATATATATAATTATAATATAGCTATAGATGGAACGAGCGATTTCGCAAACTCGCAAACTCTACACTCTCAATTCTCCAATAAAACGGAGTCAATAAAACAGCATATATTCCGTTCCTCTTTCCTATTCATCATTCGTAAGAAAATTTAAAAAAAAAAACGAATGATAATCATTTTCGTTACGCATCTTGTTTGTAAACTTGTTTTTTACGAACAAATTGATGATCATTTCTTCGCATCGTCGCAGTGATCGTTGTTATATTCGTCGATTGTAAAAAATTCGTCACGAAAGAATTTCTCGAAGAATTTCAACAATTAAATTCTAAATTCTAAAAAAAGATTTCAGGTAAGAAGATTGATCATATATCACGTATATCAAAAGTTGTTCGTTTGAACAAGTTCAATTCGTTTAATTCTTTTTTTTCTTCCTTTCTTTTTAAATTCGTTTCACTTCTTTTCGTTGTTCGTACGTATATATACTTGAACCACCTCGCTTCCATGTATCGATTATTCGTTAATGGCGAATACACGTAGTCGAATACACGAATAGCCCGATTCAAGTACACGTAACACGAATTGAAAAATAATGCCCTGTCGATTATCGTTCGATTGAAAAAAAAAAAAAAAAAAAAAAAAAGAATTACGGATTATACACGGAATTATATATAAATCGAACGAGGGATAAAACTCACTGTTGCAGAGTGAAATTAGGACAAGGATTCTTGGCATTGTTTGAATAATGAACGAACGAACACAAATTCAACACGAATTACACGAGCGATTACACGAGAAATTATTTACACGAGATAATTCTCTGTAACTCTCTGCGTGTATGAATGTCGATTTTCTCTATGGGTATTGAAAATCTAGTTGCAAAACTAGTAGCTAGAAAAAAAAGGAATATAATTTTTTTGTATTATATTTCAAAGTTGTTCGAATTGTTAATTTAATTATATGTAAATTATATCAATTATATCATCCTAATATTACTTGTTTATTACTATTATTGAAACGTAATATTATATTTATACATATATATATTTTTCTTTTTTTAGTTGAACAAGTGTTGTGACTATGGATTTGTATTACACGCCTGTGAGTTCACCTTGCAGGGCAGTTCTGTTGGCTGCGGAGGCGATCGGCATCTCCTTAAATTTGAAGGAAATCGATATATTTGCAAATGAACATTTGAAACCGGAATACGTGCAGGTCGGTACGACGAAAGTATATGTATAGAAATCTTGAATATCGTTAGATTCGTGTGATTCGGATGTGAAAAACTTCAGATGCCCAATGCTTCCTTCCCATTTCGTTTTTTCTTTGTTCATGGATCCCAAATTTAAAGTGATTATGATATATATTTGATCGATTACTATTCTGTTACAGTTAAATCCACAGAAAACTGTTCCATTTCTTGTAGACGGTGATTACAAACTAACGGAAAGGTTTGTAATTAATGAGTCATATATATCGTGGTAATTAACGTTAATTCCATTTCTCTTATGTCATCGTTTCGTTTCCTAGTCGAGCTATTATGTCGTATTTAGCCGATCAATATGGTAAAAACGTTCGCCTGTATCCACGAACACCAACTGGTCGAGCTTTAGTCAATCATAGATTACATTTTGATATCGGTACTCTGTATAGAGGTATGAAGGATTATTACGTAAGTGTTCATAAGAAAAAATGTATATATATATATATATATATATATATATATATATTATTAATTAAT